CTTGCTGCTGCTGCTGCTGCTGCTGCTGCTGCTGCAGCTCGTGTTGCTGCTATCGTTACTGTCCCGAAGAATTCTGATTCTTTGATTGAGTCGTCAATTCTGCGGGTGCGTGTCTGCTGTGGTTATTGCTGCTGTTGATGCTGCTGCTGTTGCTTTCTCTGTTGTTGCTGCTGCTGCTGCTGTTGCTGCTGCTGCTGTTCGCCGGCGTCAAGCTTTGCAGGGCAAGTGCGTAGTGCGAGCCTAACAAAGAAAAATGAGCTGCAGCAACAAAATAAAGCCCTTTTTGCTGCAGCAGAAGGCGATGGGGCAGCAGCAGCAGCAGCAACAGCAGCAGCAGCAACGGCCCGTTGCGTCGATGCTGCCAACAGCAGCAGAAAGATATAAACCCTCAGGCAATTGCCGCCCTTTCAGAATATTAGTAGTAAACCCTAAATATAAATTAAAATTTAAATTCAAATTTAAATTTAAATTAAAATATAGAAGCAACAGAGATGCAAAAGGGGCGGAAGATCTCGAGGCGCCTCATGACCGCCCGCGGCCGACTCGTCCACGCCCGCCAAACCCTAAACCCTAAACCCCAAACCCTAAACCCTAAACCCTAAACCCTAAAATAAAGTTGCTTCTGATGCATTTACGTTCGCGTCCAAGGGCGTCTGAGGCTTGAGGTGTATAGACAGCTCCCGTGTCGGCACCGCGGTGTCCGCTGAGCTGCCTGTACACCTCAGCAGCTTCAGCGCGCTGCTCAGAGGTGTACATACACTTCAAATTATTTTATTTTCCTGTCTTTTCAAGTGTATGTACATTTGAAGAAACAACGAGCGGGAAGGAAATACCCAAACACAGACCCGAAGTCCGCTGCTCTCCAGCTGCTGCTGTTGTTGCTGCTGCTGTTGCTGCTGCTGCTGCTGCTGTTTACCTTTTTAGCAGGGAGGCCTTTTCCCTTCCTGTGGGGCCCAATACGTGGCTGCGCAGCAGCACTGAGCGAGCTCCGGTGTACATTCACCTAGGAGTTTGTTGTAGCGTCGCTCCCGCTCGCTGCGGTGTACGTACACCCAAATTCCGGCCCATCCGCGCGCAGCTGGGGTGTACGTACAGCCCAGCAGAGCTGCCTATACACCGCAGCTCAGGTGTACGTACACCCCGCCCCCTGCAGCGCAGCAGGGCCTCTTTTGCTGCTGCAGATTTGAAACTCTATTCTACGAAGTCTCTAGGATTTTACTGAGGTGTACAGACACTGTAGAGTGTGGGACCTCGAAACTGAAGTGTACGTACACCGCAGAGCGCGGGGTGTCTGTACACCTCAAGTGCGGGAACACTGAGAAACACTGTAGCTGCTTTATCTGTTTGTCAAGCCTCTCCGTCGAGAGCCTCCCCACCCTAAACCCTAAACCCTAAATGGGGGGTTTAGAGCTCCTCGTGGGCCTTCCGTCTGCGTCTGCCGCCCCCAACAAGGGCAGGCCCCAACGCTAAACCCCAAACCCTAAACCCTAAATCGGCAGTTCAGAGCTCGTTCTGGGGCCCTCCGTCCGCCTCTGCTGCCCGCACACGGCAAGCCCCGACCCCAAACCCTAAACCCTAAATCAGGGTTTAGAGCTCGTCGTGGGACCCCCCATCCGCCTCTGCTGCACCCAACACTGGCTCTCCTTTCAGCTTCTCAGGCAAAGGCGCTCCTCCTATAACTCTGTCCACGAACTCCTCCAGTCCTTGCTTCGTCACGGGAGGCTCTAGCCGCTGCAGCGCAGCAGCAGCAGCAGCAGCAGCAGCAGCAGCGGCAGCAGCGCGCAGGAAAAGCCGTGCATGCAGGAAAGGGAGCCACTAGGCACTGGCCCCCAGCTGCAGGGCTCGAGGCCGCATGCAGCAGCAAGCCCCAAAATACATGCGCTCCAGAATTAAACCCTAAACCCTAAACCCTAAACCCTAAACCCTAAACCCACCAGGTAGCGCCGCCTCTTGGGCCTGTAGGCAATTACCATTTCTTCTTTGCTGCTGGGGGGGAAGCCAAAAGCCGCAGCAAATACCGGCTGCAGCAGCAGCACATAAACCCCAGAGTGCAGCAGCAGCAGCACATAAACTCGAGAGCAGCAGCAGTACATATACCCGAGAGAGCAGCAGCAGCACATAAACCCGAGAGCAGCAGCAGCACACAAACCCCAGAGAGCAGCAGCATGCATGCATGCAGCGAAAGCCCCAGCCTTCTTGCGCGCCGCCGTAGGGCGGCCCAGCGGGGGCCTAGGGTTTAGGGTCTAGGGTTTAGGGTTTAGGGTTTGCCCACGTTCTTGTCCGCAGCAACATACACCAACTTCACAGGGTCTGTCTTATACTTCGCAGCCAACTCCTTCAAAGAGCTGTACACTTCGCGGGCGGAGCCCCAGGCAGCAGTTTTGGAGGGCAGCAGCAGCAGCACGCAAATCTGCAGCAGCGCAGCAGCAGCAGCAAAGCAGCAGCAGTGCAGCAGCGCAGCACAGCGGACACCCAGTCTGCTGCTGCAGCAGTGAGTGCCGCTGACGGCCGTAAAAAAGCCATGCATGCACGCGATGCGCATGCACGCATGCATGCACGCACGCATGCATGCATGCATGCATGCATGCATGCGCGTTGCATGCGTGCATGCGGCGGAGGGTCCCCGGGGCTTTACCTGCGAGTCCTGCGGTGTACATTCACCCGCGCGCATGCGCCTGCGGGTCAAAGGGTGGAGAGTTTTTGCGCGAGGGACTCGAGCCTGAAGAGCGCAGCAATGAGGTGTACGTACACCCGAAATAAGAGGTCTGATTCGCGCTTTCCGGAGCTGTTTGTACACCCCAACGCTGCGGGCGCTGGGGTGTACAAACAGCTCCGGATTCAGGTGTACGTGCAGCTTTCGCGTCGCGGTGCGGCCGATCTGCGTGGAATTGCGGGGATTAACTGAATAAATTGAATTAATTAAATTAATTTAATAAATTTAATAAATTAAACTGAGTTTTTGCTTAAGATCTCACCTGATTGGCGACAGAAGCGAGCGTGGAAATGAACTTGTCCGGCGGCATGCCCCGGACCTTGCGCCACTCGCCTTGCAAAGTGTCCAAGTCGGAAACCACCAAAAGACTGGGGATTTCCATATAAGTGACTGCATGCATGTTGTTGAACTTTGTTGGCTCTCTGAAATAATCCAAAATTAAATCCTTTTCCGAGGGAAATACTATTCCAATGTCCAGCTGGCTCTTGAAAAAGAAAGCCCCCAAGTACCACTCCGGGGGCGCCGGCCGCTTCCGCGCAAACAGCACCACCTGCAATAAACCCTAAACCCTAAACCCGAAACCCTAAACCCCAAACCCTAGGGTTTCAGGGTGGGCGTTAACATGCACGCGCACGGACACCCATCGCCGCCAAGGGTTCAACTAAAAACCGGGACAATGAACCCTACAGCCGACGCTGCGCAATCTGCAACCCAAACCCTAAACCCTAAACCCTAAACCCTAAACCCTAAACCCTCGCACCTTGGTTTTCTGGGGGTTGCTCGTCAGCCAGTCCTCCATGTTTTCGTGGGTGAGTGTCGTTTGGTGCTTTGCAACCTTGTCGCTGATGAAGGCCAGGATGTCCTCGAACTTACTGAGCGCCAAACCCTAAACCCTAAACCCTAAACCCTTAACCCTAAACCCTCGAGAAACACACCGAGTTGCTGCATCTGCGTCGCGTTTGCACGAGAGCTGCGTGGCGCCCCACTCCAGCTCGAGGGCCCTGGCGGCGCCGCGGGCCCGCTGAGAGGCCATCGAGGGTTTAGGGTTTAGGGTTTAGGGTTTAGCGGACCTTTTGCCTTTGTAGAGGATTGGCTCCGCCTTTTTGTCTTCGCTAAAAAAAAAGACCGAAGGATATCTTTTGCCTTTGCGGCAGAGCGGCAGCTGCCGGTGGCTGCGGCAGTTTACCGC